TCTGAGACTCTGGGTTCCCTGTGTCCTTCACCGGAGCTTTTCTTTGATCACTCACTTCTGATTGCTTGGCAGACTTGATGTTATGGGTTACATGTTTAGCGCACTGGTATTCAGGATCTACTATGTGTTAGGCTCTGAACCAAATTTGTTTTTAATAGGGCTTTGCACATTCTATTTCATGACCTCTATTTGACAGATAAGGAAAGTAGGGCAAAGAAAGGTTAAGTGCTTGCCCAAGACCAATAAGTGTTCCCATGTCAGCCTCAGCATGCTAACATGGCTTTCTCCAGAGGACAGTTTGGGGGATATATCAATGGCCACTGGGGATGACAGGACCAGAGCAATAGCCCTCAGCTGTGTTGGAGAGAGCCCGCCTGGAAACACGTTGTAGTGACCTTTCACCATCTACCGTGATACTGTCTGTAGACAGAGAGACAGGAGCTGGGTGACAGAATGTGTGTGGCAGGGAGGAAACATTTGGCTTCATGTCAATTCAACTGTAGTCACTTTCTCTTTTGTTGGCATTGCTGGGTGGTACAAACAGCTAATGTGCTCCGTTGCTAACTTAATGGTTGAAGGTTCAGTTCTATCTGGAGGTCTGGTGATCTATTGCTGAAAAAATAGCCGTCGAAAACCCTATGGCACATAGTTCTACTGTGACATATATGTGTCCCTGGATGCAATGGCACCCTATTAGTTTCTTCCTGTGTTTCAGTGCATCTATTGATTCCCCCCTAATTTAACTCCCGTTGAGGATGGATAATGTCCTATGTTTTCAATATTTTAGATACGTTTCTGATTTTATGAGGCTGTTTTGTCAAGGGTACTTTAAACTTTGCAGAGCAATCCATGCAGTAACTGGTGTGGTAGATATTTGTCAAGCTTTAGGGCTGCCTAAAAAGTGTGCCCCTTGAGCATCTCTGTGTGTCTTGAGAGTTTTCCATGTTATGACTCCTGATTCCCTAAACCCACTTTCTTAGCTTCCCTTAGCGAGGGCATGTGGATGTGACCCAAACTCTGCAAACCAACCGCCACAGGGTTACCTGCAAGCAAATACTGCACAGGAAGAGGAGCGACACAGAGTTTCTGATGACCAGGGTGCTGAGAGCCATCTAGCTATCGAAATGACTGTAACACCCCATGCCTAGCATCATGACATGGTTGGGAAGTCTGAGCCCAGTGGCCAGGGCAATGCCAACTCCGTGGCAATAGTTTGATCACTTAGGCAGCATTTTTGGCCAGGCGGCTTTTGAACCTGACTCTCCAGACTTTCTGAAAAACTCAGCAAGTGACCCAATATTTACAACAAATTCTTTTTCTGCGTAAAGTCACTTGAGTAAGTTCTGCTTGCAACTAAGCACTCCAACGGGGAAAAATGGGCTGTTGGCTTCCATTTGTCTTCTATTTTAATTTTTGATGCCTGTACTTCCTAATTTCCCAAATTAATATAATCGAACTATGAAAAACAAAATTATCCAAACCATTGGCCCCAATATTAAGGGTCACCAGATGCAAGTGTAAGTTTGAGTTAGTGTTGATGTGATGGCTTGGCTGTGAGTTTGTGTCTTTTGGGTTTGGAATGCAAGAGATTTATGTATTTATATCCATGGCAAGTCCGTTCAAAGCCTTAAACTTCTCCACATGATCCCATCATTTATCACACGCCGCAAACCTGATACATCCTAAACAGCAAAATGGAGCCCTGGTGGCATAGTGGCTATGCATTGGGCTGCGAATCTCAAAGTGAGCTGTTCTAAGTCGCCAGCAGCTCTGTGGGAGAAAGGGGAGGCTTTCTAGTCCCAGAAAGAGTTACCGTCTTGGAAACCCACAGAGGAAGTTCTACCCTGTCCTATAGGGTCACTGTGAGTTTTGAGTAACTAGAAAATGGGAAATTTGGCAGAGAGGGTCTTTTGGTGATGTGGCCTCTTCCTAGGATAGTTCCTTGAAGCCAAATGATTGGACTTAGGTCAACCCTATGTGTGACCAGTGCCAGCCTGGTGTGAAATGGAAAAGCCTGAGTTTGCTTCCAGTAGATAACCTTTGACCCCAGTCCATGGCTCTGTCTTTCTCTTTCTCCTAAAACTTCACTGCACATAAAGATACAGGCAGACGTGTCTCTTAATTTTTATGCATTTATTTGACATCTCTGGCTAATCAGTTAATGCTTCAGAGGCAAGGACCACAACTTTTGTTCCTTTTCTCCTAACACTGAGCGGCAAGCCCCGAACGTGGACTGGGGAGCCTTCTGAGCTCCATTGATCAGGGAAGGTCCTTGAGGGGGATCCATTGGAGCCGAATCTCAGGGAGGAGTCAGAGTTGGCTGGATATAAATCTTGGAAAGCATATTCCAGAAAAAAGGGACAGAGAGAGCGTGTGGGAAAGAGTTGAGTATATTGGAAATGAATACCCTAGTCTGGGGGTGAGTAGTGTCTTTGAGAAAGTGTGGGACAGGTGTGTGGGGAGGTGTGTGGGGGGAGGGGGCAGAGGTCAATTACAGCTGTAGAAGTCACTGTCAGACAAATTACTTTTATATTAACTACTGAAAGCCACTGGATGGCTTTAAGCTGCGGGGCGAGATGGCTTGTTTTCCGTTTAGAACAAGCACACGTGGACTCCTCAGTGAGGCAGAGTAGGAGGGCGAGGGTGGAGGGGACTGTGTGGAAGCTGGGAGACCGTGGCAGGAACTCTGATGAAGGCGTTGGTGGCTTAGTGGAGGAGAGGAGTGAGAGGACATGAGAAGACGTGGCCAGTTAGCGAATTGGTTGGGCGTTAGGATGAGGGTCAGGAGGAATCAGGGATGACTTGGGCAGGGTGATGCGAGGAATCATTCTGGGAAGCAAAGCTGAGCTCAGTGTTGGACACGTTAGGTATGAGTTGCTAGTCACTTTAGCGGAGATGACAAACCACAGCTGGCAATGTAAGCTGGAGCTCGGGAGTGATCTTCCTGGTAGATTTCACCTTGGTGAGTCACCAGCTGGTAGATGGTCTAACAGTCATGAGGCTAGGAAGGATCAAAGAGGGAAAAGCTGGAAAATATGGTCTTGTGAGAGACACAATGCCGGAGATCGCATCATAGAATTGTACGAGCCAAAGACTTATGAATTGGGGATATCATTTTTCAACAACATCAATTGTGATTACACACTTGGACCTCATTGGCTGGAATACAGACGAATCAAATCAATCACATCCATGGAAAGAGACACTGGGGGAGGTCACTATCACGAGTCAGAACAAGACCAGGGCCCGACTGCAGGACAGACCATCAATAGTGCAGATGCAAGTTCAAGTGGAAGCAGAAGAAAATGAAAACAATTCCACAAAGTCAGACAGGTCGAGGGGTGACATCCAGGACATCATACCCGAAGAAAGCACAAAGTCATTGAAAAGACTGGAATGGAAATAAAAAGACCACCATGGATGTCAGAAGAAAGTCTGAAACTTGCTCTTGAATGTAGAATAGCTAACACGACGGGAAGAAATGATGAAATAGAAGAGCTTCACGAAAGATTCGAAAAGGCAGCTTGAGAAGACACAGTATAGTAATGAAACATGCCAAGCCCTTGCGTTTGAGACCCAAAAGGCAAGCACGTGCTTGGCATCTCACAAGCTCAAAGAAGTTGGCTTCCTTCTGTTGCACACAGGGTGGCCGTGAGTCAGCACCAACTAGATGGCGTGACAGGACAGTTTGGAGGCACAAGCTCGATTGGAATACAGACAGAAAGAGGGGAGGGGGGGCGGTTAGTTGGCAGGGGTGCACAGATTTCAAGAAATTTTGCTGAAAGTTTGGATTATAGGTGTTTTTAATATCTTATTTTCATCTATTGTGTGCGTGATAATAAAAAAAGCCATGTGCATGGAAGATCACTCCTCCTCCTCAGAAGGAGGAGCCGCAGCCTCTCCAACCCCAGGCTTGCCTCCCTCTCTGGTTCCAAGACTGCTGTTAAGTGGCTGCCCAGGTGATGGTGCAGGATAAGCATCGGACTGCTAACCCCCAGTGTTGGAGGTTCAAATTCCCCAGCTGCTCTAGGGGAGGAACATGAGGCTGTCAAGATTAACAGTCTCAAAACCCAAACTGGCGTGGGCTATGAGTCAGAAACGACTGGGCCACGGTGAGTGGGTTTGGTTTGGGTACAATGTACAGAAACTTGGAGTCTGGTGCCAGGCGTTAGCTGGCTCCGCAATTCATAAGTTACCGTGCCCCAAGCGAGACATGGCCAGAATCATTCAAGTTCCATACCTGTCCACTCAGTTTTACTCACAGGTCAATCTCATAAGCTTCAGACAATGATCCTGGAGGATCATGGGGAAGAGAATAGGGCTTCAGAGTAATCAGACAGGTGTGGGGTAAAGGCGTAGGTTCTTTTTCCCGTTTGAGTAACTTTGTGCAAGTCTCTTAAGAGCTCTATCCCTTAGCATCTTCATCTGGGAAACGGGGCTGATATGATAACATGATCCTGTGACACTAATGTTATATATAAGGCTTGGGCTCATGCCTGGCATAGTATAAGCAGCAACTGTGGTGGGCACTATGACCCTCCACGAGAACTAGGATGCTACAAACCAACCGGACAGTCGTTCATCTGACTGGGATGCCACATGGTCTCTCTCCCCGCACAGGGTGTGTGCTGGTCCACTGACCAGTCTTTCCAGTCGTCCCCCACCCAAGGATGAACCTGACGCCGCGTAGCTCACGCGCCTTTCCACCTCAGCCTCTCGCCACGGACCACACGTACCACCCCCGCCCCTCCAGCCAGCAGGATCGAGTGTCTGGGCCGCCGCGCCCGCGGGTTCCGCGCACTGATTGGTTGCGCCTGGCGGCGGGCAGCCCGCAGGCACACACACCCTCCCCGTTCACCCAATGGAAGTGCGCGCGTCACCGACCGGGCGGGCCAGGACGGCCCGCCGCCCCTCAATAAGCCACATTGTTGCACAAAACTTCAGCACAAGAGTCACCAGGCCACCTTGAGCACCCCAGTGTCGCCGATCCACGGGCTGGAGCATCCTGTGGGCGTCTGGGAGCCGGAGGGAACGGATCATCCTAGTCGAGCCGGCTGCGATTCTGCCCAAGTTGCGATTTACTAATCTTGTGGCCGAAGTTGGCTCCGTGACCGTGGGGTAGCCGGACACGTCTGCTGCAGTCATACTGAAGGCAGTTGTGACCTGAGGTCGCCTACCCACCCGGAGCACTCTCTTAGCCAGCCCGCCTTTGTGCGCTGCCCGGATTCCCGGCTCCCTGTGAGGCTGCCCGTGCCGGTACAAATCAGTCCCACCCTCCCCGCTGCGCGCACGTTCGCTCTCCGGTTTCCCAACTCGGCGCCTCTGCCCACCGCAGGATGATCGCTTCGCATCTGCTCGCCTACTTCTTCACAGAGCTCAATCATGATCAAGTGCAAAAAGTAAGTGAACGCGGGCAGGGATGGCGGATTTGCCTCCTACAAAGTTGTCACTCCCCCGCCCCCCGGGCGTCTCGTAGGGGTCCCTGGCAGCTGGACACTTCAGTACCCAGCGGGGACCCGTTCCATACCCACTTAGAGGCTGGCGCCACGGCCACGCAAAAGTTTAAGTGTCTGGGTAAGTGCTCGGCGCTAGAAGCCACGTACGCTCTGGCCGGAGAGTGCGCGCACGAGAGAGCGAGCGAGGAGCCGGGGCTCTAGCACCGCGCGCTCCCCGTCTTCCTG